AATCTACTGTAGGTACTAGATGGGTATTTAGGAATAAGCTTGATGAGAGTGGTAATATAGTGAGAAACAAGGCTAGACTTGTTGCTCAAGGGTATACTCAAGAAGAGGGCATAGACTATGATGAAACATACGCTCCCGTAGCTAGGATGGAAGCAATTAGAATGTTATTAGCATTTGCATGTTTTTATGAATTTAAACTATATCAAATGGATATTAAAAGTGCATTTTTAAATAGTTTTATAAAAGAAGAAGTGTATGTCGAACAACCTCCAGGTTTTGAAGATTCAAAATTTCTGGATCATATTCTTAAATTGACAAAAGCACTTTATGGTTTAAAACAAGCTCCTAGAGCTTGGTATGAAAGATTGTCAAACTTTTTAATTGAAAAAGGTTTTTCAAAAGGGAAGGTTGACACTACATTGTTTTTAAAGCATAAAGGTAAAGATTTATTAGTAGTTCAAATTTATGTTGATGATATAATATTTGGTTCTACTAATGATGTTCTTTGCCAAGAATTTTCTAAGCTAATGCAAAGCGAATTCGAAATGAACATGATGGGGGAGCTCTCATTTTTCTTGGGACTCCAAATCAAGCAAAGAAAAGATAACATCTTCATCAATCAAGCTAAGTACGTCAAAGATATGCTCAAGAAGTTTGGACTGGAAAATAGGAAACCTCATGACACTCCAATGAGCTCTTCTACAAAGCTTGACTTGGATGAAAGAGGTAAATGTGTGGATGTTAAATTATATACGTGAATGATTAGTTCTTTGCTCTATCTAACTGCAAGTAGACTAGACATTATGTTTAGTGTTTGCTTATGTGCTAGATTTCAATCATGTCCTAAGGAATCACATTTACTAGCTGTTAAGAGAATCTTTAGATACCTTAAGGACACTCCTAGTTTAGGACTTTGGTATCCTAGAGACTCTAGCTTTAGCTTGCATGCCTTTTCTGATGCGGATTATGGAGGATGTAAATTAGATAGAAAAAACACCTACGGTACTTGCCAATTCCTTGGAAATATGCTGCTTTCTTGGTTTTCAAAGAAACAAAATTATGTTGCATTATCTACCACTGAAGCCGAATACATTTCAGCTAGTAGTTATTGTGCACAAATTTTATGGATGAAACAATAACTTTTTGATTATGGAATTGAAGTAGGTACCATTCCTATCAAGTGTGACAATACTAGTGCTATTTGTCTCACTAAAAATCCCATCCAACACTCTAGAACTAAGCATATTGAAATAAGACATCACTTCATTAGAGACCATGTCACTAAGGAATATGTAGTTCTAGAATTTGTTGATACTTTGCATCAATTAGAGGATATCTTTACAAAACCTTTAGACAATGAACGTTTTTGGACACTTATGAGAGAATTAGGTTTAACTGACCTATCTTCACTAAGTGTTTAAAATAATTTTGGCATTTTAAAGAATAAATGAAAAATGCTTATAATAGTAATTTTTGATTACATTCATTGCTATTAGTTAGGGGGAGTTTATGATTCTTGATGAAAAATTAACTTTATGTTCAAATGTAGTTTAAGGATTAATTTGATTGATTGAACATAATTAGTTTTTGATATATGAGTTACCAATACCACTAGAGAAGATTAATTTAGCATTTTGAGTGTTTAAAATACAGATTTTTTTAATTATAGGGCAGAGAGAATCGATACTCCCCTGGGATTCTGGTTTTTAACACGAGCAGAACCCAATTTTTTGCTAAAACCCTCCCTTCCTCTTCATGCCGTGTTCTTCTCCTCTCTCTCCCTATTCCTCTTTGCTTCATAAAATATATTTCTAGTCAGAATTTCATCATTTTTCAAATCCTAAACCTGCTAGCATCATTAAAATCATGCAAACAACATCAAAATCCACTCAATCTCATCTTTCAAGGTAAATTTTTCTAAACTCTCTATTTCATTGATTTTGAACATAGGACTAGTTTCAATTAGTTCTAGATAGAAAAAGTGATCAGGCATTGATTTTTTAGTGATTAGAAACTAGATTTTACAACTACTTTCATCAAAAACACAAGAATTTTCCAAAATTCTATGAAATTTTCGAAATAAAAAAAATTGTTTTTCAAATTATTGTGTTTTGATTGAATTATGTTGTTGTTATGAAAACTATACATATATTGATTTTCAAAACCTCATTTTTCAATAAGTTTTTCAAAAACTTTGCCCATTAGGATTAGTTTAGAGAACCTTGAAATATTGAGGACTCAATTGAGTTTTGGGATTGATTACATTGCATACATGTGTTTTATAATTGCAGGTTATTCATTCTATTCCGATTTTCTTAAACCATATCAAATCCTAAACGTGCTAGGTGTTCATCTAGTCGTTCAAACCAACAACCAAATCCTCCTCTTATTCCTAAAATTCCTATTCCTAATCCTGTTGATCCTAATATGACTATCCAAAACTCGTACTTCAATCATCCTGGTCCTAGAAATCATCATTTTTGGTATTATCAATATTTTGACTCTTACAAAATTAGAGAAGAATGTATCCCTTCTCTTCAAGCTATGACATATATCGATTTTAGATATCTTCCTCTTTTACAAGAGTGGAAATTTGATAAACTTTGTGACCTTGAACCTATAGTTTACCATCAACTTGTTCACATATTCTATTCTAATGCCGTGTGTGTTAAAAACCGAGCTCAAACCAAAACCATAGCAGTTCGTTCTTATCTCCTAGGACAATTCTTCCATCTTGACTCGGATTACATAGCTAATGAATTAGGATTAGATAATGATGGTATATCAAATGAAAAATAGTTTTTAGGTTCTCGTTATAAAAGAAGGGATAGTGCGAGTGTTTTAGATCTTCATGATCGTTTTCTTCATCTAATGATTTCTTGGTGGTTTCGACCATCTGGAGGTCGTTACTCAACTCTTAGAGCCTTGGATCTTTGGTGGTTACATTTTTTCCAAAACAATATTAAAATAAACCTACCTCAGATTATTTTTACTGAAATTGTTGAAATCGTAAATCTTGTTCCAAATAAAAAACTATGTTCATCTCTAGTTTACGGTTGCATTCTGAGTAATCTATTTTCTAAAGTCGGGCTTAGGGTTGGTCTAGATGACGTCTTTCCTCTCAAGAAACAAATTAATCTTCTTTCCTTAACGAGAGCGGGATGGATAAAGAATAAGGAAACCGGTGAATGGGTTCGATCTTCTGAAAATACTCCGGGAGCTAGTTCTTCTCAAGCTCCACCAGAAGCTGACGACAATCCCGAGCTTGAACAATTAATGTAAGATATTGACGATGTCGACGATGAGCCGGAACAGCACGAGGAACAAGCTCAACAAGAAGATCATGTGCCTCTATATTTTCAATCATTTATGGAGACATTTTATTTCCGTTACGCATCATTGGATTCTCGCTTCACTTCCATAGAATCTCACTTATCGACTATGGAAGCTCAACAATTGGAAATTCTCCGGGAGATGCATGCAAACAATGAAGCAACCAACGCTCGTATTAATGCACTCACTCATGAAATGGCAGCTATGCGAGCTCATTTCCCACCTCCCGATCCTCCTACGGATGCTTGAACTTTGATCTTTGCTTTGCTTGTTTGAATTGAACTTGGATATTTGCATTATTGTTAAAACATTTTTGAATGCTTTTGGATTGTTTATTTTTGGTTGTTCAAACTTATGTTTAATACATTTGATTTGGATTTCGTGTTTATTTTGCATCTTTAGACATATATGACCAATTATCCATTACATGTTTATGAATATTGATTATGAAACTAATGGCTAACCTATCTTTTGATTGTGATCTTAGCAGCTTAAGCTTTATATTAATAAATCAATTGGCTTACGTTTTTCAAAACTCTTGTTTAAAACGTTTTTATAGGGTCTTTTTGATTTAACAAAAAAGGGGAGACAGTGTTAAAGTAAGGGGGTAGTATTTTTCAAAATCAAAATTCATTTTGAAATTAGAAAATCTTAAAATGTTTTGTTATATCAAAAAGGGGAGATTGTTGAAAATATTTTTATGTTTTGATATAAAAAATTAAATTAAAAGAATTTTAATTTTGAAAAAGATTTTTCTAAGCATATTCGATATATTAAATCGAATATCAAAATATTACTCAAAGTATTTCAAAGTTCATTTTAAATCCTTACTAAAGTGTAAAATTAAGTTTTAATATTAAAATAATTTCAAAACAATTTTACAAAGTATTTCGAACCGTTTCAAAGCCAAAAATTACAGTTTGTCCAGAGGGAACCGATTCCCCCCCAAGGGGGTACTGATTCCCCCTGAATGGTTTGGCTCCGAGAAATTCCAGTATGCTCGGAGGGAACCGATTCCCCCCGGGGTATCGATTCCTCTACTGTTCAACGGTCGAAATATTTGAATTTTACACTTAGGGAACCGATTCCCCATGAGGGGGTACCGATTCCCCCCACGCTCCAAGCTGTTGTATTAATTGTTTTTACTTCAGAAGTCATTCAAGGTGTATTTAAACAAGCTTAGAAGCCATTGATCAATAACAAGAAACATCAAGCAACTAGAATCAAGAGAGAATCAAAGAGAAAGCATCAAACCTCAAGTTTGAGCATTTCAAGCCTATTTTTTCATTCAATATTCATTTTGCTTTCAAAAACACTTATTGTGCTCAATTGTATTCATTCTTGAGTGTTCTTTTCTTTGTTCTAGAATTGTGCAAACAATCTACCTTGTGAGGATTTCCTTGTAAGTTTGCAAATTTGTATTGTTCTCTTTGGGAGAGAGTGTTCTCAAGAATTTGGGGTATAATTCTTGAGGGTTTGTAAGGTTACTCTTTGTCCTCAAAAGAAAGACAAATTAGTGAATTTGTGGAAAATCCTTAGTGTGGATAGCTAAGGTAGTGGACGTAGACTTTGGTTGAGAAAGTCGAACCACTCTAAATCGCTGTGCAATTACTTTGTGACCAGGTCACTCATCCTTTGACAGATCATCGTGATTCTTTAAAAGATTTGAATTATCGTCTACCAAGGAAGTGGTGATGAAGGTGGTATACAAAGTTGCATTCAAGATGCACTTTTATTTCATCAAGAAAATATTTGTAATGTGACAGTTAAGGTTTTGGCTGTTATCCAAACTCTATATGGTCTATGATGTTTTCTTGTGGTCTTTTACTTTTCGATTTCCTTTATGATATATTGGAAATGTTGTTTCTGAATGCACTTTTACGGTCTGTTTGTTTCACTGAAAACATATTTCGGAAAATGATTTCTGTAAAATGAATTACATTTTCTGGAAAACAATATCCATAAATCATTTTTTGGTGTTTGATGATATTGTGTCAATAATTTTCTGTTTGATAAATTTTTCAGAAATTATTCATTATAAATATCAAATACAACAAATAATATTACTCATTACTTAGTTTATTTATGATAAAAATATTATTAACGTATTAACATGGGTGTAAGTTAGTTATTTTTCCCTCAAGCTTTCCTGTTTAACGTGTCAAATACTTGAAATAAAAAAATATTATTAGAACTTATTTACACTGGTGTAAGTTAGTTCGGTGTAAGTTAGTTGGGAAAACAAAATAAACCCTTATTTCATCAAGAAATTGTCTTAATGTGACAATAAGGTTTGTGATGTTATCCAAACTTCATATGGTCTATCATGTTTTTCAGTGGCTTTTTTTTCTTTTCGATTTCGTTCATGATATGTTGAAAATGATTTTTTATGATTCTTCTACATGAGTCTGATACCTCTCATGAAGATAAACACAAATGCTCTCCACAAGCTTGGCAGACTAATGGAACCCAGCATACAGCTGAGGAGATGTTGGATGTTATATCTAATGGATCTTGTAAGGAATCAAATACTGAAACAACTACTGAGATGTGTCACCGTGTTTTCTTTGATGTTTTAATTTCTGAAAAGTTCATGTATCTGTATAAGCTTCTAATTGACAATTTCCAAGGGATTAAGCTTGACAGCCTTTTGCACTTAAGCCTAATAAACATGGGTGTAAGTTAGTTATTTTTCCCTCAAGCTTTCCTATTTAACGTGTCAAATACTTGAAATAAAAAAATATTATTAGAACTTATTTACACCGGTGTAAGTTAGTTCGGTGTAAGTTAGTTGGGAAAACAAAATAAACCCTTATTTCATCAAGAAATTGTCTTAATGTGATAATAAGGTTTGTGTTGTTATCCAAACTTCATATGGTCTATCATGTCTTTCAGTGGCTTTTTTTCTTTTCGATTGCGTTCATGATATGTTGAAAATGATTTTTTATGATTCTTCTACAGGAGTCTGATACCTCTCATGAAGATAAACACAAATGCTCCCCACAAGCTTGGTAGACTAATGGAACCCAGCATACAGCTGAGGGGATGTTGGATGTTATATCTAATGGATCTTGTAAGGAATCAAATACTGAAACAACTACTGAGATGTGTCACCGTGTTTTCTTTGATGTTTTAATTTCTGAAAAGTTCACGTATCTGTATAAGCTTCTAATTGACAATTTCCAAGGGATTAAGCTTGACAGCCTTTTGCACTTAAGCCTAATAAACTCAAGGATGAAAGGTGGAGTTTATGAGGGTTCACCTATGCTTTTCGCATCAGATATTCAGCAGGTAATTTATTTAACCATTTTTATTTACATTCATTGTTTGAATGGAGTTTGACTAAAATGTAAAAATCATCACGTTGACTGCCTTATTTCCTTTCCCTGAAACCAATATATATTTGTGCTTTAATTGAAGAGTTTGGAATGTATTTTATTTTCCATAAAAATGGTTGTTGAAAGTTTCAGAAGATGACCAAAGGAACACATATAATGAAATAGGGGAACATTAAATTTACTCTGTGCTAGCAGCTTCAATTTAGAGGCGTTCCCATCTAAGTCAATGGTTAAATTATGTGCTTTATTGTTATATCTTTCTTATGATGATATCGAGGAAAATGGCTAAGTACCCAAAAACAATGAAAATAGTTGTTTCTCCCAACGGATTCAGTTTTTTTTTCCTGTCATTACTTATATATTTCTCTTAATCTAAATACCTCCTGTATAGGTGTGGAGAAAACTTCAACAAGTAGGCACTGATATTTTATCCCTTGCAAAGGGCCTTTCAAATATATCAAGCAGTTGCTATAGTGTACAAGTGAGTGAGTGAATGAACATACAATGTGCTACTCTAGTTATTTGAATTTTTATAGTTCGCTTAAAAATATTTTACATTGATAATGAGTATGTTGTAATGATTTATTGTGATCTTTTTCTTCAACCTTACAGTTTGGAAGTTCTGGTGGTGCTGTCGAAAAGGAGAAACATGAGGTAAGCATTCATGAATTAGCTTATTGTGTGCGTTGACATGCTTTGAATAGAAAAATGCATTACTAAATTCGAATTACAGCTACAGATGCATTCTAACTTATTATGTAGTTAGTGTCAAAAAAGGAAAGAACCATATTAGGTACTTTACGGATGAATTTGATATTCAGAGCTTGGATAAAGTTGTTTTAGGACAAAACTTTGGAATTTCCACTGCTCTTATGTTTGGATGGGTTTCAATGGACATCATGCACTGTACAGAATTTATGGGCTTGTCTTAGGATTCCCAAATATAGAAAACTTAATCTTTGTTATGGGACTTCCAACTTTTCAACGGGGCCTCTGTTACATTAGTTTTGTTTTTCAGATACTCTAATGGTGTGGGGAATTTAAGTAAACCTTAATATTTATGACAGGTTCGGTCCGGTTTCCTGATATTATCTTGTAGTAATATTCTGTTACGGTTTGCTATTTGAATTTAGTATTTGTTGAGCATTTTAATGGATATTTGAATTTAGCATCTGTTTGCACAGAATCTTGCTTTAAGCACAGTAGGAGGATTCTGACCTGAACTGTTATCTTTCTGTTTGTATTACTTGCAAAATCTGCATTATATGTTAAGAACCTGTTTTGAAGGCTGGGTTCATCCCTGAGAGAGATGCTGAATTTTTTTTTGATAAGATTTGAAGACCTTGTTAAAAACCCCCATCTTGATTAATGGAGCTTGTAGAGAAGCTTCTTAATCAGCAGAAGGAGGAAAAGAGTGTCTTAGGATTTCATTCAACATAAGTAGAATTACAACAGAATTCAAAACACATCAATAACCCTTACAAGAACCAGAAAACCAACACCCCTAACAAGAACCAAAAAACAAAATTAGGACCACAAACAACATATTAGTCAGCCTATACAGCCTTAGCTATGGCATCAGCCTCTAAGTTTGCTGTCCTTGCAACACATCTAACAACCCCCTCAAAAATTCTAAGTTTATCAACTATATCTCTAACAATAAAAGCATACACAGCTGGGCATGAATCAACATTCTTAATCCAGTCTACTGCTATCACTCTTTTATCACTCTTTAAAAAGAAGCAAAGAAAGATAAGCCCATTTGAATAGCTTTAAGTTCCATCAATGTAGGAGGACCCGATCCGGCAGACTCCTTAAAAGTTCCTATAAATGAACCAGAGTGATCTCTTAAAACACCTCTGAAGATATTCATTTTTTTCATTTTAATTTTATTTATATTATTATTATTATTATTATAATTATTATTATTATAATTATAATTATAATTATTATTAATATATATTATTTATTTATTAATATTACAAAACCCGGGGCCCAATAATCAGGCCTATATTACAAGCCCAAACCAAATGGAAACCCTAAAACATTTAGGGTTTCAGTTAGGGTTTTCTAACCCTAACCCCGTGTGCCGCCGCCTCAATGGTTTCCAGCCGCCTCAGCCAACGGTCCAGCTTCCAGCCGCCTCTGCTGCCAGTGCCACGCCTCCATCGAAGCCTCCAGAAGACCCAGATGGCCACCCACGTTGCTACTCTAGCAGTGAGTCACCACATAGTTCGGTGACTCACCGAAATCCACTCTTCGGACCGGTCCGATGGCCACACCGATGATGGCTATAAAGCCATCACCCCATCTGCGAGCAAAAACAGAGAGACAGAGAACAACAGGGAGAGACAGAGAACAACAGAGAGAAACGGAGACCATACAGGAGACCGAGAGAGATACAAGATACTAAAAAACTACCAACGATCTCAACAACAACACAGCAAAGAAACAGAAAAGAAAGAAAAGAAAAAGAAAGAAGAGAAACTTACTCTGTCATCGGAGAACCCCAATCGTCGCCGGATACAACAAAAACCGAAGGTACTTTTGTAGATTTGCTCCGATTAGGAGCTTTTTAAGGAAAAAGAGCACCGGAAACGCCCTTAGGACGGTCCGATCTATTAACGGTGTAAAATTAAAATTTTCCGGCCACCGGATGCGGTGGCCGGCGGTGACGGTCACGGCGGCAGACGGTTGCCGTCTGGTGACCGGCTTCCCTCCGATGAGGGAAGCTAGAGAGAAGGCAGAGAGAAATTTGTTCTCTCTCTGTTAGAGAGAGAACAGAAATAAGGAAATGAGAAGTTGGCCCGTAGGGCCAGCCGGCTTAGGGTATAAATACCCTCTCCCAAACGACGTCGTTTTGGGGAGGGTATTTCTGTAATTTCACAAAGGGTAAACCCCGTCCGAAGCCATTCCAACTTGTAATTTTTACATTCTAGTCACTAAATCGAGTTTATAATACTTTTAATTCAGATCTTTAATTTTAATTTCATTTATTTTAGTCCTTTATATTAAAATAATATATTTAGGATAAATAACAGATTTAATCCCTTAATTTTAATAAATAATATTTTAATCCCTAGTTTATATTTTTAATCTTATATTCGAATTTTAAATAATTTTATTTTAGTCACTAAATAAATAAAATAAAGAAATAGCATGTTTAATCCCTATAATTTTGATTAATTATGAATTAGGTTTTTAATTTTACTTTTACTATAATTTAGTCATTTATTTTAAATGTTTTCATTTATTTTATTGCTTTTAAATATATCGTTCTAATTGTATTTTTATTGTTTTAATTTTACTTGTTTATATTTTTAAATATTTTTATTCATAAATATATATATAATAAATAATAATTTATTTTTAAATAAATTATTTTAATATTTATTTTTCAATATCGAAGAAAAGGACAGTCTTAATACAACTGGATGTCTTATTCTGGTATTTTAAAATTTAAAAATTATAAAAAATATTATTTAATTTAAATTAATATTTATCAATATCAAAGAAAAGAGCTGTCTTAAGGCACCTAGAAGTTCTTTTCCGATATTTTTAAATATTTTTTATAATTTTGAAATAATAGGATTATAAATTAAATATATTTTGAATTTTTAATAATAGAGACAATTTATAATTAAAAAGTACCAATATTGGGCGTTGTAGGGGTGCTAATCCTTCCCTAAATGTAACCGACCACGAATCACTTTTTATTATTAAAAAGAACGAATTTTTGGTTAAAACGCAGATCAGTTTATCTTTTAATTGATGTTTTCTTAAAAACTCTTTTAAAAGATATTTTTTAGGTATTCGACATACCTGACCCAAAAGGCCGATGGCGACTCTCAAATTATTTTCAAAACCATTTATTCACATCACTTTTCCCGCCAAATAAATATTTCGTGCCCGAACGAAAACCGGTTACGACAGATTGGCGACTCTGTTGGGGATCGGTCAATCTTTTAAAATCAATTATAAATTGTCTCTATTAATTATAAATTAAAAATTCATATATTTAATTTTTAATTCTTTCTTTTCAAAATTTTTATATATACTTATTATTTTCATAGTATTTATATATTTTCTTATTAATATTTCATTTTATTTGCAAATATTTTATTTCATTATTTATTTTTTCTGTTAGAGGTTTGAACATTTCTCCTCACACACAACACTTGCATTGCATAACATAAAGCTCTATAATTGAGTTTGTCCCTTTTAAGTGGGAGTGAAAGCGACGTCTTCGTGAGAATTTATTCTCCGTGTAAGACTTAGCAAGTAACTTTCAGGGTTCATATGCTCTATGTCTTTGTGAGAATTTATTCTCCGTGTCAGGTATAGAGAAATGTATCCCCTCGAATTGAACTCGATCCGCTTAAGTCTGTAATGGACTAGGATTGAGGGTTGACAGCCCAAGGGGGCATCAACAAGGACAGTTCGAGTATCTTTATTCTTAGATCTGAAACCTTGCATATAATAAACCCTAGCACTTCACCTGATCTAAGACAGTATTGAACCTCTGTCCGTAAGTGTACACAAAGGAGAAATAAGTTCTAGCTTTTAATTTATTCATTATTTTTTTTCTAAATAAATGCCTGCGAACTAGAAATCATACAGTTAGGTTAATTTTTCCAAACAAAGCATGGAACTAGAAAGCATGAGGTTAGGATTTATACTTTGATAAATAGGATCTTTTCTTTCCATTAATTGGTACTAACCAATTTTTTTTTCACTTCTCATTTTTTTCCATACATATTGTTTGCTCTAAACTTGTTTATATTTGATTTCTTTTGTTTGCATTACATGATCATGGCATAACCAAAAGGTGTTTACTGGAAAGACTGTTCATCATATTGGAAAGAAATCGTAAATGGACAAAAAGTTTTATGATCAAACAAAATATGATGCGGCCAAAGAAAGACATCCTGAGGAAACTCCGAGGATAGAAGCAAGCAAAGCACACAGAGATCCTGTTATATTAATACCAAAAGTATTACACAAAGATCCTACCAGATTGATACCAAAAGCAGTCTATGGTAAGAGCATCAATCAGGGCATTCAGATTAGTTGAGGTTTTTATGAAGCTCAAGCATGTTATTTGAAGGACTTGAACGACCAAAACGAGAAATTGAGCACAGAAATGAAAACCATGCATGAAGATTTTCAGAAGATCAGTCAAACCTTTCAAAATGCTGGCCTAGGAAGTACCCCAGAAGAATGGATAACAAGGGTCACCAAGCTGAAAAAGAACTGCAACATATATGAAGATCTTGTTCAAGAACTTCTTGGACAGAAAAGATCTCTTACAAGGGAAAATGAGCAACTCCGAGAAGTGACACAGAAAATGAAAGAGAATGTCATGGAAGAGGTTGTAGTCCAGACAAGCAATATGTCCCTTAAGTTGATAGACTAATTTGGCTTTGGAGAAGTTAGGAATGAAATATATCCCTATATGTAAAGTTTTGTTTGATGTACCGAAACTTTTGCGTTCAATGAAATCTGTTCTAAGATGATCACTCTTGAGTAACACCTTTTCATACATGCATTTGTATTTTGCATTTGTACATTTTTACGTTTGTATTTACATTTACATTTTTAAATTTACATCATGCATTAAAACATATTTGATTAAATAATAATGTTTATTTATT